AAAACGAGTTTGCAAAAAGGGGCGTAGCACATCCCATAGGCGTGGAATTTTTTATAAGCTATAACCTCGGAACCATAAGCCACACGAACTTGAAATTTGGTATGCAGACATATCAATGGTAGGTGCTTATACGAAGGTATATATAAACGTGTTTGCAAATGTGGGCTTGGCACATCCCATAGGCGCGGAATTGTTTATCAGCTATAACTTCGGAACCATAAGTCTCACGAACTTGAAATTTGGTATGCAGGCATATCAATGGTAGGTGCTTATAGGAGGGAATGTATAAACGAGGTTGTAAAAGGGGGTGCGGAACATCCCATAGGCGTGGTTTTTTTTATCAGCAATAACTTCGGAACCATAAGTCACAGGAATTTTAAATTTGGTATGCAGACATACCAATGGTGGGTGCTTATAGGAGGTTATATGTAAATAAGTTTGTAGCAGGGGGCGTGGCACATCCCATAACCGTGGAATTTTTTATCAGCTATATCTTCGGAACCATAATTCCCACCATAAGTCTCACGAACTAGAAATTTGGTATGCAGACACATCAATGGTAGGTGCTTATACGAGGGTATATATAAATGAGTTTGTAAAAGGGGGCGTGGCTTATAGGAGCGAATGTAAAAACGAGTTTGCAAAAAGGGGTGGGCACATCCCATAGGCGTGGATTTTTTTATCAGTCGGTACCACAAGTCCCATGAACTTGCAATTTGGTATGCAGACATATCAATGGTAGGTGCTTATAGGAGGGAATGTATAAACGAGGTTGTAAAAGGGGGTGCGGAACATCCCATAGGCGTGGTTTTTTTTATCAGCTATAACTTTGGAACCATAAGTCACACGAATTTGACATTTGGTATGCAGACATACCAATGGTAGGTGCTTATAGGAGTTTATATGTAAATATAAATAGTAGGTGCTTATACGAGGGTATATATAAACGAGTTTGTAAAAAGGGGCGGGGCACATCCCATAGGCGCGGAATATTTTATCAGCTATAACTTCGGAACCATAAGTCTCAAGAACTTGAAATT